CTAGGCGTCCATGTACCGAAAGCACTGTAGTACCCGTTTAGGGAAGGTATATGAATAGTAACCTTCAGATCCCCAAGAAATGCTTAAGAAAAAAGACTTAATTGGCACCCAGCAAATCGAATTGGAGGTCTAGGAAAAGTTTCGGAAAGTTTTACTTCATAGCACACCCCCCGGCCCCAATCGGGATTCAACAGTAGCGGATCGACAAAGACAGCTGCTGATTTCACCATTTTTTATTTCAGAAGCACGAACCATTAGGAATTAGAAGATGTCCGTCTTAAGCCCCTGAGCATCCGCGCAAAGTCCAAACCTCAAATTCCTTGAATTCCATACCCTGGTACTTTACTGGGTTACTGTTAAGGAACTTAAGACAATGACCATAGTAGGGGTACATAGTAAGAAAATGAGCTTCATTGTTACCGTAGTTTACACACCCAACACTCAAAAAAACAACATTCAGTCCCCTAGACCCTACAAAATAGTTGGACCCATATGAGGGTTTCCCAAAAACGGGGGGACCCCAACATAGACCCCCAAATACTATAATCCTCGTTATTGGGTCCCCAAAGAGGTACTCCTAATTTTGGGAAACCTCATATCTTTTCGACCGCTTGAGGGCTCGGACCGTGGAAGCAAAGTAGATCAGGGACTGCTTCTGGCCTCGGAACAGCTTTTGGGTGCTCAAGTCAAGGGATGATTATGTAAACCTATGATTCATAAACCACCTCCTCTTCAGGGTCTTAATACTAGCATTCCTATTTTAATCCCTATTAAGGGGAGGGGGTTTATCAATCAGGGGTCTGGGTTAGGGTTCAGGTGTAGGATGTAGGGTTCAAGTCGAAGGAGATTATTGTAATCCCAATTACCTACAGTCTAATCTTAACTACGCCCTAAGTACTAAGTAGAATGCCCCATAAAACTATAGGCACTTGCAGCCAGAGGTAGGGTTTAGATTTAAGGGTTCAGGGCTTGCGGAGTGGTACGGCTTGGGAGTTCAGAGGTGAATCATAACCTTTTTGCAGGGATTTCAGCAGAGTAGCCCATTATGTGGGTGGTTGTCAAAATTATGGTCCCTTTGTGGGTGCCCTAAATATTAGGTGCCGTATTATAATAGGGATCCAAAAAGGGACCATAATTTTGACAAGCACCCATGTAGGTAGCAGAACTGGTGGGTAGATATGGGGCTCTATTGGAATAGACGAAGGCGCTGCGTGGAAGGCTACGTCTACCCTTAGTATTTCCCTGTACTGCTCAATGCAAATGACCCACATCCAAAGAACAATAATATGAGCCAGAGCCTAGACTCCTAGTATCCCCCTCAAACCCTTATTGTAGTCCCCTATATAACCCTCCTTTGAGGAATTTAGACTACAGCTCATATGGGAGATGGAGGTCCTGCGATTTAGGGTTGAGGGTTCAGTTTGACGTCTTGCCGAATCTTTGACGGCTTTCCGCTTCAAAAAAAGTGCAATGTTTTTGAGCTTCCTAAAATTAGAGGTACGCTTTTGGCAGTCCCCACGATTAGGATTATAGTGTTTTGGGATCTGCATTGAGGTCTCCCCCCCAATCAAGGGAGACTACCAGTTGAGCAGGACCTTGATGACGAACACTCAGCCATTGAGAAGGACCTTGGTGCCGAATACTCAAAGGGTCGTTTCTACATGGCACTTAGGACCCCTGCTAAGGGTTAACCCTTAGGTACCTATAATCGGAATATAAGGGAACCCCAAAAAGTTGTGTACATGCAGCCCCGCAGAGACTGCCTTCACTACGTTGACACGAGGCTCCAGCGAAGCGCGCTGTGCACGTCCTGTGCGGGTGGTGAGAGGTGTTACAAGGCACCTTGGGTTCGGATTCATTGGAACCCCTTCACTAATCATATGGAAAAGAAAATGGAAACTACTGTAATATTGGGACTATATAGGGGTATATAGGGATAATGGAAAAGAAAATGGAAACTACTATATAAAACGCCCCATGCTCCCTTCTTTCTGAATGTGCTATATGGGCAAACCTGTTCTGTGGCGTGGGCAAAGCTGGGACTTGGTGCTCCCCTGTAAGCTAGAAGAATGCCCCTGATGATTCATGCCAAAGTTTGGGTACTTCCTGCACTCTGCCAGCCCTTCCCCATTTCCAAGGGGCCAGGAGTCTGATAGGGCACGCTGGGCCCAGAAGGTTTTTTTGGTGTAAATACTTTAAACTTTAAACCGTAAAGCCTCAACCCCAACCCTGAAATAGCTATGTGCTATTGGGTGCTTGGACACTGAGGGCAGATGCCACAATCATGACCCCAAGCTCTTCCAATTTTAGGCTCAAGGTCTAGGGCTCCTATCATGAAAGCTAGTTGCGGTTTTGCGAGTCTCCTTTTTACAATTCACGTGCTGGTGCGTTGGAGTGCGGCAAGGGCTCTCTGAAACAAGCCGTTTAATCGCCATGTTGTTCCCCATGTTTTCACATATTTTCCCGCCCCCACTGCCCCTTTGAGGACCAGGGTCAAGTTGGGGGGGAAGGGGGGGGAGGGGGGGTAGGGTGGAAGGTACAAGGTAATGTTACAAGACACTACAGCAGATTGCAGGAAGTTGAATCAATAGCTTCCCCTACTGGAACACGTATTGGGAGAGAATAGTAGCATCAGTCATCCTATCCCATTGTGTATTCTAACTTCCGATAGGATGCAGGCTATATGTGCTATAGCCTGTTTAGAACTTAAGTTGCTTTCGCCCCAAACACTGAGACCTATGATAATGTGTTTACCTACAAGTTTTACGCACTCCCATATCACCCCAAAGAGACCCTATAACCTGGCAATATTTTGATATTCGGAGCAGACTCTGTTCTGATTGTTTTGGGCTAACTTTGGGCTTCGAAAGGCGCCTTAGGGAAAAGCTGTCCCAACACCAGTTTTCTCATCCCAGCACCCCGAGCCTACCAAACTCCTAAGCACTCATGTCTGAATATCAATAGTGAGATTTACAACCTAGTAAGTCGTATCAACCTCCAAGAAACCTCAACTCCGCTACTTGCAAAGTCGCTCTGACCCTCGAAGCGGTGTTCAATCAGAAGCCAAGGCCCTCAGCTAGGAACCACAGAAAGGTCGCTTAAGGGTGTAAGGGCTTGAGGGTTTAGGGTTCAGCCGTGTTCCAACCTATCTAGGGTGTAGGGTTAGGATTTGGGAGGGACTAAGGTACTAGTATAAAGAATTTGCAAGGATTGCAATAAGTACCAAGGACTTACATAGATTCTTTTTGAAGGTACGTTTCTAATTCCTGGTAAACCCTTAAACCTACCTAAACCCTACACACCCTAAAACCACACCCGAAACCTAAACCAAATCCTAGATCTTCCAACCCAAACCCCCAACCCTGAACCAAAAAACATCATCAACCCGGCACCCTGAATCGTACACCCGCAACCCCGCGTCCCAATCTCCGAGCCCTAAACCCAATTTTGAAGTTCATGGCACCTAAGAACCACAATGGGTTATAACACGACGTATAATCCCCTGAGGTGGCCATATAGGAGTTACCCTCACTGTAAGTAAGTGGTTAGCAAGTCCTAGGAACCTCTAACTACACCCTAAAAGATTTTGAACACCATCCCTATACCCCTAAACCCTAAACCCCAATGCAAAAACTCTCCTCGAGGCTGTGCTGTTGACTGAACCAGAGGGCCAGTAGCTGTGCCAACACCTCTCAAAGGACTCCCCATGGAACCCTAAACCCTAAATTCGAGGGGTTAGGGTTGAAGGGTTTAGGGTTTTTAAGGTTCTAAGTACCCAAACCAAGCGGGAAAGGGACAGGTAAGGATGCATGAGGATATAGGTTTAGGGTCCCAAGTACCCAAAAATGATGTAGCATCCCCCCCCAAACGGACACGTTGTGCTGCACTCACCACTGTTGCAAGTGAGCCATTTGTACACCCACCAAAAACATGCCCCAAACCGTCACTTGGAGCTTCACCGGCCCATGAGCAACCTACATCTGGTAGTTTCCCGAAACAAGGGTCCCCAATATAGGTCCCGAATTTTGGGAAACCCCCATCTGGGCTTAGAGCCTAGTAATAGTTCGGGCTCATAGGGCTTGCTGGGGCTCAACCGGATACTACGTCTCCTTACGACGTACCCCCAGCATGTAGCTATAATCCTTTGAAAGGCAGTGCCACCTGACAGTGGGTTTTTGCAACATGGACCCATCTTTTGCCCCCAACTCTAGACGCTAAACTCTACAGGATTTAGGATTTAGGGTTTAAGGTCGGGGTCTCCGGAGAAAAAGAAAAGGGATCCTTAAAATTTAGGCTGGATGGGGGTCTACCCAACCCTAAAACCCTAAACCCCAAGATTTTGGAAAGCGACAATGTGACTTCACTGCCTCAGCGCTCTCGCTGACCCCGTCCTCCATCGAGAAAAGCTGCTTTGGTAACGGCCTGTGAGCGCAAGGCTGTCGTAGTTTCCCTAAGTAGCGGGACCCCAATTTAGACCCCAAACCACTATAATCCTCATTATGGAGAGCCTCCCAAAAAGTACACCTAATAAACCCAAAAAGGTTGTTCTCCAAGGTGTGCTTTAGGTGCGAAGGGTCTGGATTTGGGGCTTGGCTTTCGCAAAGTCTTACGATCCTATGGACGTATTTTCATGTGAAAATATCCTTGGGCATCCAAGACAATAACATAATGGGTGTTGCCTACTTTCGGCCCTCCAGTCATGGCCCCTAACGGGGAGGGTCTTACAAAACGGCCCATCATTGTCATCGTCATCATCATCATCATCATCATCACTAGTATACTAGCCAAATCAACATCAACATCACCATCGACGTTGCGGCTATAAGAATACATGATGCTTTTGGCTCGACAAAAACAAGTCCGAAAACCGAAAGCAACTGTGTTTGCGCACCCTTTTGTGGGCTGGGGAATTGCATTGGTAGCTGAACGGCTTGCATAACCACACAAGAGGCTCTGCATGTCAGTGCATGTTCAGGCGGCTTTTTTTGCACGTGAAGCACAGGGTCATCCAGGTCATCATCCAGGTTGATGACCTCAACAGGTTGCCGCAGCCTTTGCTTGAAAGATCTAGCGGCAAGTTGGGGTGTCGGCTGAAACATGGGATGCTGCAGGGCACCTGCAATGGTACCCGTTGCTTCAAGAATGGACTGCGCAGTCTCTTCAGGTATTCCAGTAAGCTCTGAAAGTTTCTCAGCATCAGTCTGACAGCGTTGGCGTTTTTGCTGCGGCCAAAGCAGGCAGGATGCCTTTCTCGCTTCAGCCGGTGCTGAAAGCGTATGCTCAAGTGCACGTTGGAGCTCGCTTGTGTTCGAAGGTGCTATTGCGCATATGTCGGAGATGGGCTGCAGCAGGAAAGCCGTATGCTCCCCCTGCAGCCTGCGAAGCAATTGCTTGAATTTTACTCGGAAGGTCGAAGCTGGATGACCGTCTAGGGCACATAGCTCTGCAAGCGCAACAAGCTCCGCCTTTCGCCAGGCATGCCCGTCAGAATCCAAACAGTCCTTGGCTGCCCTTGGCACGGGACAAAAGACACGTCAACAAACATGCGCCATGTATTTTGTGATATTGACTATTATGGGCTCCCCCGAAACCTTAAACCCTAAACCCGTTTTGTTGGACCCCAAACCCACAACCTCAACGGAGCTACCACAAGTTGTGTAGTCCCATGCCCGCTCCTCCAAGCAGACATGGAAAGAAATGAGTATAGTTTTTTTGGTGGTTGAACCTAGTAAGACTATATGCCTTAAATAGAATACTATACCCAAAAGGAGGATCGCATCTTACTCTATAATGGGTACCATAGTATCCCCAAATAAAAACTACACAAATGGGCTTGGGCTTGAGGGCCCCCTTCTCTAAACAAGCATGGACACAAGAAAAAGCCCCTTGAAAATAGCCGTAGTCCACGAAAGTAACTAATTTTGGTTTCCATGTCAGCTTGGTTGAGAAAACTGGCTAAACCCGAAAACTCTGAAGTCTTTGAAGTGTTCCAGAAGACTGCTTCTAGCAGATGGCAGCTGCAAAAAAGATTAACGCAGATTTTTCATACGGGTGGCTTTCAAAAATACACCCTCCTTCTTCATGGGGCTCGGTTTCTAGGGTTGATGGTCAACAGTTGATCTATTTGGAATTGTAGAATGGGGGGCCCTTGTTTGGAAACTCCCATGCTTGGGGGGTCATGGAGACTTCGTGGGAAGGCTAATGAATAGTTAATGGTGAGAACTGGGGTTGTTTCATGGCTTACGGGCTTAAAATCACTTACCAAATCCTCAGACCCTCTACATGCGGAAAAGCAAAAAAAACAGACCACACCACTCCAAGTACAGCTAGGTTGCAAACGTAGTGTGATCCGCGTTCCAGCCCGCTGCCAGGACAAGTAGCACGCTACCATCAGCCTACAGGCCCGGTTATAAACATAGGACTGACTTGGAGGCGGTTTAGGGTTTAAGGTGCAGGGCTTAGGGTTTATTGCTGAAGGATGGACTTGGAAACGGCTTAGGGTTTGAAATTTAGAGCTTGGGGTTTATTACTATAGGATTGGCTTGGAGGTTTGGGGTACTTCTAATCCAATTTACTGTACTTGCAACCCAACCATAGGCCCCGGAAGTCTCGTATTGCGCGCACAGTTGGGGTCATGTCATGGTTGGGTTCTAAGTACCAGGTATAACTGGTTTAGCACGCTTATAACGGCCCCGAACCTGCAAGTAGGGTTGAGGTTCAGATTACTTAGTTGGGGTCAAGGATTAGGGGTTTTGACGCCCACACACATTAGTTTGCGAATTGACGTGGTGCGGCGTGTAGGGTTGAGGGGTTGATTAGAAGCAAGCGTGGCCGAAATTTTGCTACAAGGTTATTTGATTGTGCTGTGGAGTATGACAGAGGAATGTGATGGAGAGCCCCTCAACCATAAACCCTTAGCCTTACCACAGGTCTAGGTAGCTGTCTAGTATACTTTGGCCCTGAAGTAGTTACGTGGGAACCCCTTTGTGCCGTAAGTATGTACTAAATAGCTACCCTGACCTCTAAACCTTAAACCCTATAATATCCAGCTACATGGACCCTTGGGGTTAAACCCTAAGCAACAGCAGCAGTATGGAAATACAGCAAACCCGAGCCACAATCCTATGCAGTCCTAATGTAGGTATGGTGCGGATAAGGGTGTACGTAAGGTTTAGGGGTTTAGGGTATATAGGGTTTAGCGAGAGAGGCAAAGGTTCTTCTTACGCAAAGATAAGGAATCCCAGAACCCCCAACCCAAAGTATAAAGGATCCCTAACATTGATCCAGTGAAGGGAATATAGAGGTTACATAGTATTACAGGGTTAGGGATTAGGGTTCAGGGCTTCCCAAAGTTTGGGTACCTTTTTGGCGGGCCCTCATGATGAGAATTATAGTATTTGGGAATCTATATTCAGGTCCCCTATTGATGGAAACTATCATATTTCCACTATCTACGAAGCAAAGGGTTATTTGGAGTTTACGCTTTATGGGCGTAGCATTCACTTGTCAGGGGCTTCGGATTTAGGGCTTTTGGATTTTAGTGAAGCAAAAACACACGGCATCTCTGAATACCACAGCCCTAACCCTAACCCCAGCAAATGCCACAAACTGGCCTTAGAGTTGGAGAGAAATTCCACTCCTCGAGCCGCAAAACTCTACAGAGATCCTGCAGTTACAAACTCTCCGCATAATTCCCAATCCGCTTTAAGTGCCCGGTTCATGCAGCTGTGTGGTACATGCCAAGGCCCCCAAAGTAGTTATATGAAAGCCGCTTAAGGCCAAACACATGTACCAGTCACTGTACCTGCATGGACCCTTTGGGCCTTTATGAACCACTATATATATATATATACCCATGGCATTTGCCATTTTCTTCGCCATTTGATGCTCCATGATTGGGGCAATTATATAATCCCTATATAACCCAAATATGCCCACCCGTATATATATATATACACTACATGGACCCTTCCTTCGGGTAAGCAGTAATTGGGGCATTGCATCCCTAAACCCTAGACCCTAAACACTAAACCCTGAACCTTAAGCCCTAAACCCAAAACCCTAACCTTAATCCAAAAACCCTTAACCCTACAGAGGCCTCCATGCCCGGATATTTGCGAAGCGCGGTGCGTCTCGCGGCCTTCAGAAGCTCATCCCCAGCAGCAACGGCGATGTCCGTCCGAAAGTGAAGATCGTCTCCTAAACGATTTAGGGTTCAGGCTTTAGAGTTTAGGGTTCAGGGTTCCACGTGTAGGCTTCAGGGATTAGGGTTCGGGGTTTAGGTGTTGGGTTTAGGGTTCAGGCAATGTCAGAAAACCCCTTTGTGCCCGTAAGGTTTGCGCCCTTGGGTTTGGATCCGTACGCCATGGAAAACATCCCTTACCCATGGTATTTGGAACCCCAAACTCAAGGTTACACATCTTAAGGATACCGAGTCTCTGATTTTCAGACAGGGACCCTAAACCCTAAGGGTCCAAGTACCCAACCAAGTCTTAGAGACCTCAAACCATTCGGGTTCTAGTACTTGGGACATCCTGGGACCTACAACTCCAGGAGGGTTTAGGGTTTAGGTCAACAGGGCTACGTGTAGGGATTATTGGGGTCCTTATTGGGGATTATTGAGGAACTATTTTGGGAATACTCATATAATATGAGAGTTGCTGTGTAGGGGTCAGAGAAGTACACTCCATGACTGTAGGCCCCCTGAGCCTCCAAGCAGGACAAACTCCTGTGCACTGCATACCACGTTTACAAATATCAAGCCCATGCTCCATTTCATGTTGCATGTGATTCTCCATTAGTCCCATATACCCCCACACACTGAACCGTAAACAATGCAGTAGTTTCCTGGGGCGTAGCGGTTGAACTATGGTTGGATTTTGGCTTATGTTCCCCCGGAGCGAACACCAAATGTGTATCATGATCAACTTTGAAAGGAAACATTTTTGTCACGAAAGCCATTATACAAAACCTACTTCATACACCCAAATTAATCCCTATAAGCGACTAGATAATCTGAGTGTGCACTTGGTTTTCCATGTTCTGTTCCATTTCATTCTCCATTTTTGCGGATACCATCCCCTAAATCCTATATGGCCTTAAATCCTGAACCCACAACCTCTAAACCTTAAACCCTAAACCCCAAACCTTAACACCCTAAATCCTAAAACCCTGAACCCCAAACCCTAATCCAGGGACTGAGGCCTCTCTGACCGTAGATGCCACGGGAGTTTCGCAGCTTACAGGCTTCGAGGTCCGTGGCCTCAAATCCCTTTTTGAAAGCCATCTAGGTTCTATATCTCTGTATATATACATTTATATTTCTACACTGTGATTAGGGCTTAGGGTTTAAGATTTAGGCCCTGAACTCTAATTATATATATATATATGTATCCCGATACGGTGTTCAGGGCTTATGCTTTAATGTCTAGACCCCGAACTCTACATATTCCTATATGGTGTTGAGAGTTTTGGGGTTTCCTAAGTTCCGTATATATAGCACCACCCCTAATAGGGCTACATAGAGGAATGGAGAGGATCATGTAAGTTACTCTATCATGTAAGGCTTACGGTTGAGGCTTACCATGCTGTAAGTGTTACGTGGGGGATATATAGGGGATTGGGCTTTAGAGATAGTATCACGGTATCATGGGCTTTAGAGATAGTATCACGGTAAAGAAGAAACACATGGAACAGAACACGTAAAGTGAGATGGAAACTTGGAGGATATAGGGGTCTATTTGGATTAGTGTTTCCTAAGATTTGCGGTCTTTTCTGGAGGGGAGGGCCTCATAATAAGGGATTACACGGGAAAGTATCCCAAGGGCCAACCCATCGTTGTTCAACTGTACTTTGCTTGTGTCATCGAGGCGCTTGCCTTTGTTTACGGCTTAGGGCCCACCTCCGCCTGGTCCAAGCTTCTGCTACCTGTACTGTAGGCTACTTGCCCAGGCAAATGGGCCTCGTAGTGTTTTTTTGGTGGTAAACCTAGTAAGATGATATCCCTTATATAAAAAACTATACCCCAAAAGGAGGATATAATCTTACTCTACAATAGGTACCATAATATCCCCAAATAAAAAAATACTCATTTGGAAACGGGCACCGTAATCCCAAAGCATCAACTTGCCCTCTTCTAACCCTAGGGCTCCCAGTTACCTGCATAGTAGGTTACTGGGCTATGTATGTTTAGGGTTAGGGGTTTAGGGTTTAGGGTTTAGGGTTGCAAATTACTGGGCTATGTATAACTATAGGGTATATAGAACCCAGTTCCCATTATTTGTGTAACTGGAGCCTTAGGGTAAGACAGCCTACAATTTGAAACCTGGAAGCATCGAACCTTGGGGTTTAGTGTTTAGGGCTTAGAAGATGACGCTTTGCGCACAGGAGATTCTTCATGATTGGGCCCCGGGGCACAACTTGGGGCCCGAAGAATCAGCGGGCTTCTGGGGGTTTAGGGAGCTGTTTGGGCTTCTACTATACTACATTCGGACCGGATGTTGAGGCTTTAGAAGCTTAAGCTGCCCGAACCCCTACTAGGTTCCCCAGTAGCCCTTAATGATACAGAAGAGGTGGCTGTGGGGCCTGCGTTTTGACATAGGGCATTTATCTAATATTTAGCTATTTATGGTTATAGCATAATACTGTTTAGCTGTATATGGTTGTAGGGTTCTAGCTCTCCCACTGTCACACTTTATGTTAAACTGTTGATGTGT